CATTTGAAGGCCCACCCTGCTTTCCTCAATGGACAAAAGAAGGAAGCAGTAAACTCAGGTACTGGGAAGCCAGGGAGTATTGCCCTAGCCTGGAGGCCTGGCCTCACCCTTGGAGGCAGTCTTAAGTGAAGGCCAGCACTACCTCCACATCCCCCAGCCCTCAGTGATGATCCAGATTTATCTTTGACCCCAGGGAGAAAGCTAAAGGAGCCACTACTTGGGAACCACTATGACCCAGACTTTACTCACTGACCTAGGACCAACCTGGAAGAGGAAGGGGTTGGGGAGTGGGGAAGGAGCAGGTATTTCAAGGACTTGGCTGAACTGGACCTGGGACAGTGTGGAGGGAGATCAAAGCGTTGGAACCCCAAGGCTTGCCCTTATGTGAGATGCCACCAGGGCAAGACACTGTAGAGGAAGTTAGAGACGTGGAATCACCAATGTAGTTGAGAAGCTGAAAGAAAAAACTTTATAATAATAAAAAATTTCAGTCAACCATGTTAGAAGAAAGACTGAATTGTTTTTTCATTCTCTATAGAAACTGGTATATAAAATTCTTATAAGAATCTTTATATACTCTTTATAAGATCAAAGAGTATGCAACCAAAGATGTAGGGGAGAAGGGTATCAAGGGTCTATCGCATATAATTTTTTTCCTGGATTTTGTGATGTTTGTGGTATTTATCGGTTTTTAAAATATTGTACTTTGCTGTGATTTCTTTTCTCATTCCAAATACTCACTTTTGTACTTAGAGTCATATTGTTTTGTATCCTTTTTTAAAAGAGGTCCCCCAATACCCGAAAGAACTGAAAGCAGGGACTACAAGAGATACTTGCATGCCCATGTTCACAGCAGCATTATGCACAGTAGCCAAAATGTAGAAATAATCCAAGTATCAATCAACAGATGAATAAACAAAATGTGGTATATACACACAATGGAATATTATTCAGCCTTAAAAAGGAATGAAATTCTAATACATTACAATGTGGGTTAACTTTGAAAAAGTGCTAAGTGAAATACTCCAGACTCAAAACGACAAATACCATATGGTTCCACCTATAGAAGGTACCTGGAATAGATAGATCCATAGAGACAAAATGTAGAAGAGCAGTCATCAGGAGCTGGGGGAGGGCAATGGGGAATTAGTGATCAGTGAGTATGGAGTTTCTATCTGGGATAATGAAAAAGTTCTAGAAATATGTAATGGTGATTTTTGCACAACGTGAATGTACTTAATGCCACTGAATTATACACTTCAAATGGCTAAAATGTTAAGTTTTGTGGTATATATATAACCACAATTTTAAAAGGGAGCTTGCTCCCTAAAGTTGTATAAACCGGAGCCCCATAAAATTTGGATCTGTCCCTACCAATAAGCAATTCCAAAGTAACACAGTATAACATCCTATAATGAGAACCACATATTCAGTACCAGAAGGGTTAAGTTTTTTTACTTAATAAAAGAGATTCATTTAACTATTGTAAACAGGGCTGTTGCTTTCCAGAACTCTTAAATTATAAATCATAAGCATCAGGTTCCAGATTTCCTATACAAAGACCACTCAGAAACTGGAAAGATGGCTGACTCTTAATGTCATTTTTTTATTTTTTAAAGAATTTATTTATTTGAGAGAGAGAGAAAGCGAGAGAGGGAACACAAACAGGTGGAGTGGGAGAGGGAGAAGCAGGCTCCCGGCCAAGCAGGGAGCCCAAATGTGGGGCTCGATCCCAGGACCCTGGGATCATGACCTGAGCTGAAGGCAGACGCTTAACGACTGAGCCACCCAGGTGCCCCCACTCTTAATGTTCGTTAAAGTTGCCTGGGAGAGAGGGGTGACTGGCTGGCTCAGTTGATAAGCATCAGCCTTGGCTCAGGTCATGATTCCAGGGTCCTGGGATCGGGCTCCCTGTTCAGAGGGGAGCCCGCTTCTCCCTCTCCCGCTCCTCCTGCTTGTGTTCCCTCTCTCGCTGTCTTTCTCTAGCAAATAAATAAATAAAATCTTAAAAAAAAGTTGCCTGGGAGGGAATGGCTGTGGTTTAGATGTTATTTTAGAAATTGAAGCTCAGGGCCCCTGGGTGGCTCAGTCACTGGGCGTCTGCCTTCGGCTCAGGTCATGATCCCAGGGTCCTGGGATCGAGCCCCACATCGCGCTCCCTGCTCAGCGGGAAGCCTGCTTCTCCCTCTCCCACTCCCCCTGCTTGTGTTCCCTCTCTTGCTTTCTCTGTCAAATAAATAAAATCTTAAAAATAAAAAAAAAAAGAAATAGAGGCTCAGAATCCCTGGGCCTTCCATCCTATCCTGCAACTCAATAAATTCTTTTGGTGGTTCCTCTTGTATAAAAATAGTAAAAGTGGGGGGGCACCTAGGTGGCTCAGTCGTTAAGCGTCTGCCTTTGGCTCGGGTCGCGATCCCGGGGTCCTGGGCTCAAGCCCCGCATTGGGCTCCCTGCTCGGCGGGAAGCCTGCTCTCCCTCTCCCACTCCCCCTGCTTGTGCTCCCTCTTTCGCTGTGTCTCTGTCAAATAAATAAATAAAATCTTTAAAAAAAAAATAGTAAAAGTGTATTTTATAGAGAAGTGGAAGATGTTAAGAGAGCTTCATGGTATATATGGAGTACAGGTTTTTTTTTTTTTTAAAGATTTTATTTATTTATTTGAGAGAGCGAGAATGAGAGAGAGAGAGAGCACATGAGAGGGGGGAGGGTCAGAGGGAGAAGCAGACTCCCCGCTGAGCAGGGAGCCCGATGCGGGCCAGGATCATGACCTGAGCCGAAGGCAGTCGCTTAACCAACTGAGCCACCCAGGTGCCCAGGAGTACAGGTTTTTATACCATAAATAATAAGGAAATCATGGGTAGGATCCTGAAACCATCTTTCTGCAAGTCTTGGAGATTTACTATTTCCAATGAAAATTCTTACTAGGGGCACCTGGGTGGCTCAGATGGTTAAGCGTCTGCCTTCGGCTCAGGTCATGGTCCCAGGGTCCTGGGATGGAGCCCTGCATCGGGCTCCCTGCTCCGCGGGAGGCCTGCTTCTCCCTCTTCCACTCCCCCTGCTTGTGTTCCCTCTCTCGCTGTCTCTCTCTGTCAAATAAATAAAATCTTAAAAAAAAAAAAAAATTAAAAAAAATTCTTACTAAATTTACAATCAGCTTCTTTTACCAGGAATCTAAATTGGACTTTAAAATACACAAAAAGCAACGCTTTCCTGCCCTACTGGTTCCATTACTTTCATATCCTTGCTTCTAATAAGCAGATAAAAACCAAAAAGAGCATAGAAAGTTGTGCCTCAATTTCCCATAATCCGTAATTAAAAATTTAACACACTGTTTTATTACCAAGAAGGAAATTAAGTAGTACCTATAAATTTTTAATATAAAACTACCCAGCAGTTTTAGTAGTAAACCAAATGAACATTTAACCAAGACTTACTGGACTACTTTTTAAAGTCTATTACGTGTCTCATTGGGTAACTAGAATTCCTCTTTGAAGACTTAGATTGGCGCAAATAATATAGGGCATGGAACTTTAAAAAAAACAACCCCTTCGGGGCGCCTGGGTGGCTCAGTCGGTTAAGCGTCTGCCTTTGGCTCAGGTCATGAGCCCTGGGTCCTGGGATGGAGCCCAGGATGAGCTTCACTGTATGGATAGCTAGTTGACTCTTGCAGTAAAAACTTTTCTTCGGAGATACCAGGCCATGCTTCCAGGATTCCCTCTGAACATTCTGCTAAACTCATCAGGTTTGGGGGATTCAAACAAACCAGATGACTATCCATTATCCTCAGCCAGCCATAAGGCCTTTTGGCAAAATATCTCTGCAAGTGTTTAACCCCAAATTACCTGGTACTAGGCCTTGCCATGGGAATCACTCCATCTCTGATAACTTAATATTTGTTTAGTTAAGAAGCTTCAGGAGAAATTCAGGCTGGAGGCATGGGAGTGGAAGGAACAGTGAGAAGACTGAATGGCATGAAGATTTGGCAGATTATATAATGGCAGGATAGGAATTACAAGAGAAGGAAGATTTGGTTTCCAGCCAGATTGAACTGTAGACCAATGGCAATACTAGGGAAGTCGGGAAGAACTGGTTTGGCTAAATGTTAACATGCCTTGCAAAAACTTACTAACATGCCTTAGGTATTACGAAGTATTATAATAGCAAACAAATCTGAGGAGATTTGATATGTCTCAGTTAAAATCCAGTTGCTTCTACAATGATCTAAGAAAACATTTTTTTTTTAAAACATTTTATTTATTTATTTGACAGAGGGAGAGAGATCACAAGTAGGCAGGCAGGCAGGCAGAGGCAGAGGGAGAAGCAGGCTCCCCGCCGAGCAGGGAGCCCGATGCAGGGCTCGATTCCAGGACCCTGGGATCATGACCTGAGCTGAAGGCAGACACTTAACCGACTGAGCCACCCAGGCGCCCCCTAAGAAAACATTTTTTTTTTGGAAGATTTTATTTATTTGACAGAGAGAGACACAGCGAGAGAGGGAACACAAGCAGGGGGAGTGGGAGAGGGAGAAGCAGGCTTCCTGCAAAGCAGGGAGCCTGATGCGGGGATCATGACCTGAGCCAAAGGCAGACGCTTAACGACTGAGCCACCCAGGCGCCCCCTAAGAAGGTATTCTTAATTCCATTTAGGTTCATGTAAAGGTCTAACTTCAGATGAACTTTCTTGATACAACAAAAATTCAAGCAACTTTTGAATAATACAGACTGAATTACTCACTGAACACACATTGACTGTACATAACAATTTAAAATGAGTAACTTAGGTTTAATTTAGTATTTCATTAGATAGAGACCAACAAATCACAAAATCTTATTACTTAAAGTATTTTAATTTTGAAAAAAGTTTAAACCATATTAAAATTGAAATAATTTCATTGTACAGTACTTGATAATGTAATTCAACAATCTGAAAAACTAAAACAAACCACTTAAATCATTTTACTTTACTTTCTAAGCTTAATAATGTACAAACTCTTTTGCCCTCCAGGAAGAAGCAAAAATCAACAGTGAAAATGGAATATTTAAGTTAATACAATGTAAGATATTTGACCAAAGGGATTTTTTTTAAGTAAGCTCTACCCCCAACGTGGGGCTTAAACTCACAACCCTGAGATCAAGTCACACACTCTACTGACTGAGCCAGCCAGGCACGCTGGGCCAAAGGGATTTTTAAAATTAAATTTCATCTGGCAATACCCTACAACTACCAGTATGTCTACAGAAGTTAGGAATTTAAAACAAAACAAATGCAATCTGATCAAATCCACAATTAACTAAGTTTTCATTTTATTTTTTGTGAATAAAATAGCAGCCATGGTTTTATCCAGTTTACTAAAGGTATCACCTTCAGAAGAAGTTACCTGTCCCATCTGCAAAACAAGAACAGTTATCTTCTGTTGAAAGGCTGGAAGCTTTTCAAACTTAGTTCTCTTCCATTTGTGTCATAATTTCCAAATAAATCAATGGCTCCAGCTAATGTGGGCCAGTCAAGTTCCCTATATGATCATCTCTTCCATGCAATCATCAAATAGCCACCTACAAGATTCTTTGGAACACTCTATAGTTTCAAAAAGCTGTTTAAAGTCTTGAGGGTACAGATCTGTTATTTTCATGTCTCCATGTTTCTCTATTTGCTTCAATATAGCTGTTGCATTAACTGGACTCAATAACCTACAAAAGAAACACAAAGTAAATCTGCTTAATTCCTTTTATAACTGCAGTAAATATTGGTAGAGATGGCTTCTATGCCCAATTTAAAATGCTTAACTTATGGATATATAATTAATCTTATTTGGTTTTAGAGTTTGCATATAATGTATAACTTTTACTATCATTTCTGAAGTTTCAGCTGTTCAATCAACAGCTCATTCAGAGTTTCACCCATTCTGACAGGACTTTAAATGACCATGGGCTGCTGATTCCAAGAGGTCATGCATAACTTACAGAACTGTACCCATCATCCTCATGGAAAAGTTATGTAGATACCAAGGAGGCAGTAACAGCTATAATTTTTATAAAGCTTTAGGTAAAAACTTAAAATCTGGTCCAGGACAGGAGGACTAGGGTGGTAGAATAATCCATGCCTCCTTGGGCTAGGAAATAAAACCATGGGGGATAAACAGTGAGAAAAGGTAGGTGGTGGGTTTGCCACCACTGATGCTGCTCCTATCCCGGTCACTGGCAAGCAGCTAGTTCTCCACGTAAGTCAATTCTGGACATATACTCTGACAAAGAGGAACTACTGGTGGGCATCCCTACTTGTTTTTTTCAAATGAAAAAAAAAAATTAAGCTCAGGAGACTATGTGGAAAATTGAATTTTATTTTTCTCAAAATGTGCACTGGGGAAGGAAGTGTTGTGAAGAAAGAGATGAGTGAAAACATGGTACCTAACTCTGTTAATCAAGATATACAAGATCCAGAAAATGGACTGCTAACATGAAAAGCATAATTCTCACATTAAATTGCTACTTTTATACTTGCTTTTATTCTTCTTACTTACTGTAAATGGTCCATTAGCTTGAAATTACGCTTCATAAAACACTGCTTTAACATGTGAAAAAATACATCATAGTTAACAGATGTTAAATTTTCTGTAAATAAATTCGGAAGAGGAGTCAGTTGAATTAAACACATGTTTTGTCCTACTTGTTTATTTATTTTTTCTAATGGTTTCTGGAGAGAGAAAAAGAATAAATTGTGTTAGTCATAAAATGCTGCCAGAGCAAGACAGAGTTTGCTTACTCATTCAAGCTAGCTCTTGGAAGGGGCAAGCACCACAGATCCCGAGGGGTCCTGTACGTTCTTGCTGGGTGTGCCAAGAATGCAAGGCCCTAACCACTCTTTACCTGGGCAGTTCCTCAGGGTTGTCTGCAGCAAGCCACCTACCTTGAGGGATGAGATAATGGCTCTCTCCAGGACAAAGAGGAGCTTGCTTCGTGTTTGCTATTAAAGAAGTGGATTACCCCAGCTCTGTGTTTCTAAGCTGCAGTGCAAGCCCCAACATATACACCATCAACTGAGGAACATCACATTACCCTATGGGACGTGGGGGCAGATAAAGTCCTTCTTCTGACCCAGGAGTCTACCTTTGGGCAGTATCCATGAAAGAGTAACAGCTTATTGACTTTGAAGCAGGGTAAAATCAAATCCTAAACAGGACACTAACATGTACTGAGTTTCTTCTATATTTGAGACACAACACCAGATCCTAAGGATAAAAAAGCATTATTGACTTATAATTTTCCCTTGGATATTTAAAAAAATATGGGGTTACAAACTATGGTCCACAGCCTGCTTGTTTTTGTATAGTCTGGATCTAAAAATGGTTTTTACCTTTGTAAAGGACTGTTTAAAAAATAAAGAAAAAAAGCAAAAACAAAGACTAGGACAGAGACTATTATGCGGTCTGCAAAGCATAAAACATTTGCTGCTTGGCCCTTTACTGAAAAAGTTGGCCAACCTGCTCTAGTACACAATATTCGGATTTTTTTTAAAAGTACATGCCTTAATGTAAGGTTAAGATGTTTTTTTCCTCTGAAATTATCCCTCGGGAAGCACAGAGGCCTTATGTTTAAGTCCTTTGGAAATCTTATATTAGGTAGTGATCCCTTATTTACTTACCTAACTATATATACACACATATACACATATATGTACATACACAAAAATATACATTTTTGAGTATATATACTCTTTGTGGAAGACCTATTGCCTGAAAAAGAAACTTTCAATCAATTCTAGTTTCTAGTTTTGGATGCCTGCAGTTGAAGGAATTAGTCAAAAAAAAAAGGAGGCAATGAAATTCAAAAAATATTTAGTAATTATTTTTTTTTAAAGATTTTATTTATTTATATATAGAGAGAGAATGAGAGCACAAGAGGGAAGAGGGTCAGAGGGAGAAGCAGACTCCCCGCTGAGCAGGGAGCCCGATATGGGATTCAATCCCAGGACTCCAGGATCATGACCTGAGCCAAAGGCAGTCGCTTAACCAACTGAGCCACCCAGGCGCCCCTAGTAATTATTAATTAGAGTGGGAGATAACCTCGTAACTCAAAGTGTTATATATTGTTGTTAATAAGACTTTTGAAAGTGACTTTAAAAAGGAAGCTGGTAGGGGGTACCTGGCTGGCTCAGTTGGTAGGGCATGCAATTCTTCCAGGTTGTAAGTTCAAGCCCTAGGTTGGGCGACCCTGGTTACTTAAAAATAAATTAAAAAAAAAAAAAAAAGGAACCTGGTAGATAGTTTTGTAGTTACAGATACAGACTTACTTGATAAATAGGGAAGAAAAAACTGTCCTGCTGTTAGTGGACGGCTATTTGTAGCTTAGAAAAAAAGTTCCAGTGATAAAAATATGGCTTCCAAAAAGAGGAAAATACCAAACAACTTGGATGGAAATCAGAATAATGTGCTCTAAAAAACTGTCAAATGTCTCAATGTGCCTCTGTAGCAATTATGGACATGCTGATATCAGAGATACAGGTGGAATATTTGAATACAATTCTCTCATGAAACATGACATCTGGTTATCTCCTTTTCATCCCTAAAGTTGGCCAAAGAAACATTTTTTAGCTTTTGCTCATTTGAAAAAATGATAGTGTCTTATATACAGGACTGTTCACTTTGGGGACATTTGGATAAGTTCCCAATGGTCTCAAGATAAAATAATCTGATTCTATTTTGTGAGGCTACAAAAATACGCTTATGAAGAGTGAAACAGAGCTAAAATCTCAATGATCACAATGATGATTGAAAAGTCAGGCCGTTTCTAAATTGATCATTTTTTTTCTTTTAGTGGCAAGAATGAGAAAAAACCCAAAGTAAGTAGGTAAATGGGACCTTCAGGCTGAACTGATCCACATCATTAGCATTTCATCCTGAAGTCAAACTTTGGATTGTTTTTAAAAATTCAGCTACTTTATTCCAATTTTGCTACAAGTCCCCCTAATATAAAGTAAATGAAAGATCACTTTATAACATCATCACTTTGGTTCTATAAAAAGGGGAAAAAACAAACAAAAGCCCCACCCTCTGGGTAAGAAACAAGACATACCTGTTGATGAACTCAATCATTATAAATAGTAACACAACCAATTTCCGACTTTTAAAATCGTGTCTTTAGTTTATCAAATTAGATGAACACTAAGATGATTGTATTTTCCAAATTTGGGATGTTTCTTCATTGCAAGAGATAGAGATGGAAATCAAATTCTGTTTAAGCCTATTACTACACTAACTAGTATCCACTGTATAATCAGCTGAAAATTACAACTCTCTTCCAAAATAATTTTAATTTATTAAAAGCAGTAAGATATGTTTAAAGAACATTTCCAAATATTCCAAAATTAAACATTTAAATAAATACAGAATTCCAGATAATCTTAAAGAAAACAGGATGTTCCATTTGGAAAGAAAAAGAGAAGGGCATTCATTCTGACCTTATTCTTCAGCTTTTCCTGTCTCCCACTTTGGCCGTATACACCAAATGAGGACCAAGGCTCCTTGAGGGAAGGTAAACAAAACCAGAAACATTTCTTTTAGTTCTCTTTAGTCAAAGTGCCCCAAATTATTACTGCCTTTAAATAACAGAATGAATTAAATCCAAGTCACCATTCTAATTGGACTTAAGAAAAACATGGGATAGTTAAATCATAAACTTCCCTCTTTCACCTTGTTTTTTTTTTAAAGAGGAGAAATCAAAGGTCTATGCTGACATTGCTAATTCTCTTACTTATTTAGATAGAGTATCATCCTTAATATAATTAATGCAAATAGGTCCTTAAGCTGGTTTAACAGCTAAGATTTCCATATTAAGTCACAGTCAGGTTAGGGCCCATCAGATCAACACTGACATTAATGAATGGCAAAAGTCAACACAAGGCCTTTGAAAATAAATACTGCAGAACAAAAAAAGAGAAGACTCTTCAGAAAGCTAAAGTCCCCCGGAGGCCTTTATGAAGAAACCAGCTGACAGCCATGAGGAGAGGAGGCCCAGATAAAAAGCCAACAGAATGCGAGATCACTGAGGTAAGAAAGGACTTAGGGACACCAAGAACTGCAATACCAATGTCACAGCACACGGTGCAGGGTCAGTGCTGTGAACACCAGTGTGAAAAGATTTCTGGGAATACAGAAAAACAATAAAAGCATGACAGATACTACACTAAAGACAAGGAACGGAGAGCCAGTCTAAGAACCTCATGCATTGGAGGAAAAAACACAGAACTGGAACAAAAGCTAAAATCAAATGGGTAACATTCTAACAACTAAGTATGCACACTGAGGGGCTTAATGTGCTTCTGGACAACAACATTGAAGGGACTACATGGAGATACACACGGCCCATTTAAAAATGAAACCAACATATCATTAGAAGAACAAGGGTCCATCACATAGGTAAACATACATCCAACAAAAAAGAGAAAGGCCAAATTACTGTATGAAAGAAATAGTGTTTACCAGTTTTTCCTTCACTTTGACCCTTTGCTATGAATACAGTGGACACTAGTCATATGTGGCTATTGACACCTGAAATGTATCTAGTCTGAATGGAGATGTGTTGTTAAGTGTAAAATACACACTGGACTTCAAAGGCCCTGTATGTAAAAAAAATAATCCAAATTATGTAATAACTGTAAAATACTGATTACATACTGACATGATAATATTTTTGAATCGAGGTTAAATAAAATACATTAACATTAGTTTTACCTGTTTTTTACTTTTTTATAAGTGTTGCTACTAAATGTAGCGTTACATGTAAAACTACATGTGTGGCTCACATTATATTTCTATTAGACAACTCTGATCTTGCCTAAGGAAATAAACTAGAAAACGGAATGCTCTATAGTGAGGTTTTAACTGACCATTAAATACAAGAAAAATGTCTAGTGATGAGAGAAAAAAAATCACTATTAGCTATTAAGTGAAAAAAATAAGATACAAAAAAATATAATCTCTACTATTTAAAGAAAAAAACACAAAATACTGGAAAAATAAAAGGCTACAAATAGGTCACAAATGTTAATAGTGACCTCTGGGTGGTGGAACTGTAGTGATGGGAGTTTTTAAAATTCTTTTCTTTTTTCTTTTTTTTAAAGACTTTATTTATTTGACAAAGAGATAGAGAGCACAAGTAGGCAGAGAGGCAGGCAGAGGGAGAGGAAGAAGCAGGCTCCCTACCGAGCAGGGAGCCCGACGCGGGACTCGATCCCAGGACCCTGGGATCATGACCTGAGCCGAAGGCAGCCGCTTAATGACTGAGCCACCCAGGCGCCCCTTTTCTTTCTTCTTTCTTATGTCTCACATTTTTACAATGAGTATACATTATTTTTATAATCGGAGAAAAATATAAATATTTGTGACAAAAACATAAGCACAAAGTTACCTTGCTCTATTATCTTCAACAGCTGGGAAAAATAATAAATTAAATTTTCATTTTTCTCCATTTACTGGTCACAAAAATGTAGCCTCTTTAAAAACAATGAAGTTCAGACGCTGGGGGGACAGGGTAACTGGTGATGGGCATGAAGGAGGACATGTAATGCGCACTGGGTGTTTCATACAACTGATGAATCACTGAACTCTACCTCTGAAACTAATAATACACTACAACTTAATTAACTGAATTTAAATAAAATTTTAAAAAATAAATAATAAAAAAATAAAAATGAAGTTCTCTGTTGCAATTTAGAACGATTTTACTCACCACATGCAGAAGCTTAATCTTACAAGCTACTTGCCAGAGCACACTTAACGCTTGATACAAGTGTGGATTTTCGGGACTTGCCACCAGTTTCTAGTAAAAGGAAAATAAAAGTTATATGTTTATATAACTATAAACAATTGAAATAAAGTTCTGAATCTTAAAAGTAATATCTTAATAGTATTTAGAAATTAAAAAAAAAATTAGAATCGCAAAATCTTATCCGTAATCATTTCAAAGAAGAGAAATCTTTTTAAACTTTCATATTGAAATATATCGTCCTGTACACTTAAAACATAAGGTATGTGAGAGATTGATTTCCTTTAGCCAAAACCCTATCAGGGCAAAATCTCATTAAAGAAAAAAATGAAACAAAAATGTATAATTACTGGGGCGCCTGGGTGGCTCAGTTGGTTGAGCCACTGCCTTCGGCTCAGGTCATGGTCCTGGAGTCCCGGGATCGGGTCCCACATCGGGCTCCCTGCTCAGCAGGGAGTCTGCTTCTCCCTCTGACCCTCTTCCCTCTCGTGCTCTCTATCTCTCATTCTCT